AAATTAAGCTGAGAGCCGTTGCGATGAAATCAAAATTTCAGCAAAAAACCGGCGATGTAATCGAATGATCGATTATCTTCGGGGGTTGAAACATTGTCTAATGTGACCTTTCTTGCAAAAATAGTGTCAGAGTTAAATTTCTGAACCATACGCTGCTAAAATCCAGAAATATGCTGAGAAAATTGCCAAATTTCGGCGAAATTTGACGAAATATCGAACTTTTCGATATAAGTCGTCGATATATCGATTCCAAAACCTCAAAAATCAGTTTCCCATCAAAAATTACGTGAGAGTCATGACTAAAAACAATTTATTTTGCCTTATTCTTGAGACAGCAATGTGAATTCCTTGAAAAATCATCGAAAATCGTTAAATTCTAAGTGCTCAAATTACAAGGGGCTTGGGCCGTATGTTTAAATTTACAAAGGGACCTGAATTTTTTTTTACATTCATTTGAGAGCATTTGGCCACTTTTGAAACGGCAGGGATGTCGAAATTCCGACATTTTTGTTTTTCGGCCCACCCTAGCAGCTCCCCTTGGCGGGGGTTAACTTTTTTTTTTTTCAAATGGCAACCCCCCTTTTGTGATACCTGAATCGAAAGATAGTAAAAAAAGGAAGTTTTTGGCGCAAACCGCAGGTCAAAATGTTGATTTTTGAGAAAATGGCGGAAATTTGGCATCTCCGTTTTTTATCTGTGGATTGGTCTGAAACTTAGAATCCTAGGGTTTTTTGGGACGAGAAGAACGACTCTGGCATTAGTTTTCCAGAAATGTCAGTCCTTTTCAAAATGGCGGCTTAGAGCGGGAAGTGGATATTTAGGCTGCTCATCGTCGGATTTGTATGAAACTTGGTATCCGGGGGTATTTCGGCACGAGAAGAACGAATCTTTCATTGGATTTTTAAAATTTTTCAAAACTTTAAAATGCCGGCAAAAATGATAATGGCGATGGTGAATACGGATTTTCCGTTATTTTTCCGCCACAATTTTGACGATATTCAGTGTTTCAAAAATCTAATGAAAGATAAATTTTTTTCGAGCCAAAAACCACCGGAGTATTAACTTTTGTGCAAGTCCATCGATAAACAGCCGTGATATGGATTTTCCGTAATTCTCTCGCCGCCATTTTAAAGTTTTCAAAAATCCAATGAAAGATTCGTTCTTCTCGTGCCGAAATACCCCCGGATACCAAGTCTCATACAAATCCGACGATGAGCAGCCTAAATATCCACTTCCCGCTCTAAGCCGCCATCTTGATAAGGACTGACATTTCTGGAAAACTAATGCCAGAATCGTTTTTCTTGTCCCGAAAACCCCTTGGATTCCGGGTTTCAGACCAATCCGCCGATAAAAAACAGAGATGCCAAATTTCTGCCATTTTGAACTTTGACCGGCCGCCATTTTGTCAAAAATCAACATTTTGACCTGCGGTTTGTGCCAAAATTTTTTTTTTTTTTTATCTTTCGAATCAGGTATCACAAAAGGAGGGTCACCATTTAAAAAAAAAGTTAGCCCCCCAAAATTTTGGGGGGACCAAAAAGTTGCTACCTTAAACCGAGGAACATTCCCAAAGTTTCAAACTTCTATCTCAATTAGAAAAAAAGTTAAAGGGGTGGTAGGTGACTTTTGGATAACCATATATACAGAAAATGAATGATATGTATATTCGTGATCTACGACTCGTGATTGGTGCTCTTTACATGGTCCCAGGTCTAGGTCCCACCATGAGGGAGAACGCAATAAAGATGTGTATTTTTCCTTCGGAAAATACACTAAAAAATGCTCAAATTTCTGATGTAATTTATGTGAATTTAAGGTGCTAACAAAACTCTGCTGTATACCCATTGTGTATAGCATGTCTGTGATTACGTATAATTAATAATTATTCCGAGATGGGATCACTATTAGTTCTCTGGAGGTGAGCAACGCACTGTCAGAGCAATATAAAAAATAAGTAAAGTATGTTGTTCCAAGTTAAGAGTATTGATTAAGTATCCATTGAACCCCCCTGCAATTTTTTTTTCTTTTCTTTTTTTTTTGTTGCTCAGGTGTTGGATTCAGTGAATTTGTTGAGATTTTTCGGAAGTCAGGAGGCTCAGACAGTTTGCAAGGATCCACAAGTTTTGTGAATCTCCATACAGAGAAAACTCCCAATACTTTAAACTTTTTCCCTTTTGTTCATTTTAAGAGTCTCTCAATAATTTCAAAGTATACATTGTTGTCACTGCTGAATAATACTCACTCAAAGTAGCTGCTTACAAACAGTAAAAGAGGTTAATTTTTGAAAGAAGTTTTTTTTGAGGCAATAAAAAAAGTGGACTTTAAAACGTGTCAAAAACTTGAATTTTCTCCACCCGTGTTTCAGATGTCTGTTTGCACCTTCAAAAATAATGAGAAATTGTTTGGAATTAAATTGGCTAGGCATAGTTTGACCTTTAGACGTAGGCAATTGCCTATTCTCCGTATTTTAGGGGGGGGGGGGAATCAAGAAAGATGCTTCATTTTTATCCTTCCTTTTTTCCTACTTCGCTAACCAAAAAGTCATTATTTCTTCAAGGTTTTGTGTCAGTGATGTTATCTAATTTTTATGAATTGTCTCTTTCAGACTGAAGTTATCGGTGTACGCACTGCATATGCCCAGAATCCAAATTCAATGCTTCAGAGTGAATACAACAGTGTTTTTTTTGTTTGTCGTAAACCTTGGGATTCCGTGAAATCTGAATTTTGCTAGCACGGCTGAACTCTTCTAAAAACTTTTCCTGTATTTACAATAACTTTTTAGAGTAAAATAATCCTAAACCTTGATGCATTTTTATGCCCTTATGCATGATTAAGTTCTGAAGTTGTTTTTTTTTTTTTTCAATTTTGTCTGTTCTTTTTTTACTCTCTCGGTTTTGTTTTTTAATCTCTGTAAATATATGCAGAAATACATTTAAGATGACATCAGATGTATGAAAAAACTTGCATCCATCCATTTACGTCCTTTTTAACAAAGAGAAGTAAAATAGGGTGGAAATGCTGTTCTTGATCACAGTTGTTGCCAGACGGTGCGAAAAGTAATTAAATTATCGCAACCTGGTAATACCGCATTTTACTGACCCTCGAGGTCCGAGGCTCACATACAATCCTCACAGTTTTGGTTGATCCATAAACCAATTTTATTGGTAAAATACGCAAAACATTCCAAGTCCAAAAGTATATCAGTAAAGATACGAACAAAGGAGGGGTATCGATAAGGGCCGATTTTAGCCCCACTTCAAAAAATCATCTGAACC